TTGTAAATTGCCGAGCACGCAATTAATAGACCCAGTTATGTCCTTATTGATCAGTTACACTTATTTGATTACTTGCATAAATTAAACCGTCGTATATGTTGCACATCAGTTAACTTTGTTACTTGGAATATAGAAGGATAAAGCCCCGTATGGAAAGCACAAGCAATCGATGTGCAAAGGTCGTAAGTTTTCTTATTTTCAAGTCAAGTTTTTTTGTTCCCAAAGCCATACGTAAGCCTACAGCAAAATGCGAAACGCTGTGCAGTTATCATATGCAATCAAGAACGTTCGCAACGTCGAGAAGAAAATAGACCATGCTTTACGGTTCTTTTTTAAGTGCAGAAAATGGATGCCTAGAAAACATCTTGTAATTGTTCTGAGCGACTTTCGTTGACCCTAGGTTTGATCCTCTTTATAAAAAGGAATTATGATCGATGTGATAAGACTTCGTTTCTAGGTATCTGAATTTTCTCCATATTTATTCCTGACAACAATCTTAGAAAAGCTAGGCCGGATTCAATGTGAAACGAATTTTATTTATGTTACGCACACTGGTACGTGGCTATCCCCTTTTTTCGCCTAGTTTCTCAGTCGCGCGGTACCGCCGAATTGCAAGAACCCAAAACAGAAAAGGATTTACCACGCACAATACAGCTCGAGGATAAGGCAGTTTTAATTTGTACAAAAATTGTACAACGGACATAATGAAGCATGCTTCCTTTAAGCCCTTTTGTCATATTGAAAGGGATGTCTTCTCCGTGTATTTAGAAACACAACAGAGGGTACGTTTTACGAGGCCTCGAAAGGCAAGTGACATGAGATGCACTGCGTGATGGAGAAAGTTGGTGTCATTTATCGCACTGGGTAATAGCGTTTTAAAACGGAGAGTCGAATAAAGTCGACCGAAATACAATCTTCTAAGAGTCACAGAAATAATTCAACAGAAAGAATGTGGTGTTGGTGATTTTAAGAGTTGTAGATAATAGATTCATTTACAAGATTTACATCAGGAACATTTCGTCACGGTGAAGTTGGTCCGAGGTCGATGGCTTACAAACAAGTCGCGGCTGCGAACACTGTGAAACTCAGGAATATTTTTCTTGAACTAGAGTGTAAGTTTACGCAATTAGCACACTAACCTTCGAGCTACAAGCGATGCAGAGCTTCAGCATCTTGCCTCCTATCCGCGAAACAAGCCAAAACTTGTTTTGAAGCGAAGACGAGCGGCGAACGATTTTACGTAAACTACGTAAACACCGCTCGAAGACGGCTCGATCAGAGTTCGTTATTATTTGAGCGCCTTTTTGGCGTAATTCCAGAAATTGTTTTAATTAACATTACAATGCGGTTTATTGTTTCGACCGACAACTGTGCATTCGGAAAATATGTAAATTGCGTCGTACTGTTTTCGATTTTTTTCCCATGAATAATTTGCGGCATATTTATGATTTTACAGTAAAAATATAAAATGTGCTATTTGAAGACATCGTGGTCTCCCTTTAATTGTTTTGAGCATGATTTCTATTCCTTGTTTTAAACGCATGTTTTTGTAACCAAAATAATCGTCCTCGTTGAAAACCCACTGCGTCACTTGTAAACTATAAATATGCATGACTCGCCCACACACTCCTGGCCGGTCAATCTTTTCGATCGTGCAGAGAAAGCTACTGTGCGGGGAATTGAGAGAGCCAAGTATCGTTTTAGTCCGCGGGGTCTAGTAGAGTTTTAGATACTTGAGCTACGAGGAGTTCGATGGAGGGGTGCTCGGCTGTGAAACTTAGCCGAAATTATGGGTGCTAATGGTCCTTCAAAAACCATGATTCTCGCAAAATTTTCGTTGAATTTCACGGGTCTCGCAGTCTCGTTTTTCAGCGGTTATGAGTGTCTCGCAGTCTTGATTTTACACAAAACTGTCTTTCAGTCTAGAGTTTTTCTCAAAGCTTAGAAAGTCTCAAAGTGTCGATTTGTTTGCTTGCGTTTGTAACGTCTAAGAACCTGAAAGACTCGAGCTAGCATAAATCAAAACACTGTGAGATAATTTGTAATTTAGATTGAGGGCCAGTGGTTTATCAGTTTTTACTGTCATATGCTACCCTCGAAAAGTAAAGTTGTTACATTACTTGCTCACTTACGATGAAGCCGCGAAGAAGTCTAAATGTTTCGGGCTCGCAAATAAAAACGCGTAATCCACCCCCTCCCTCTTGGCAAAGTCTCGCATTTACCATTCGTCACAAACTAGTTGTGGTGAAGAAAAATAAATCAGATGAATTAAACAGGCCAACGAACGAGGAAACAGAAGAGAGGAGACAGGTGTCTTCACTGATCGACCAGCGGGGTTTTCTATTTGTCCTATCCCCCAACAAGGACACAACTTTCACCGTGCTCCATTGAGAGCCACATGAAGCTATCGGAGCCTAGTAAAAAACATTTAAAGTTTAATTCCCAGGAGCCGATTGTATAATTGTCTTGCTTGAATAATACTCTGCACGAGGAAAAAATCCACATAGAGCCATCTAGAACTACAGAGTAATCTCTGTGAATCTAGTATCCTGCGTAAGCGTAGCGGTTCCCTTCCAGGCCAGTGCGAGGCGCTCGAACAAAACGACTTTGGAAAATATGCAGAGGTTCGCAGCGCGAAAGGGAACAAAAACTCTTTGCCTACATCCCAAGGTTTCGTTCTCCTCTCGCAAACTTGGAAAAGAAACGCCGGCTTCGCAAGCTGCGAATACAGAAAATCAGAGTTTTCGTTTTTTATCTGGCGAATGTTGAACCGTCTGTGGTATTTTCGATCACAAACCTAATGTTTATGTATTTCGTTTATTTTACTCCTTGTTATTTTTGGCACGGCTATGTTCGACTTCTACCGATTCAATTCCCCGACAGATCCCCAGAAAGAAAACAAACGATCTTAATTTTGACACAAAAAGAAGATTGTTGAGAAAGTAACAGTCAAAACCAAGGAACGATTAAAAGAATTTAAAACCTCTCTGTCATCCTCATGGGGAAATACAAAGCATGGGAGGGTGGGAAAGCAAAGGAACTGTCAGCAGCTACTTTAAGAACTTTAAAAATGAGTTCTCATAGTCATAACAAAATTGGCTTTATTTATCCAACTTCAGTCTGGGAATAGGCTCCCTAGTCAAAGATGGGGTGAAAGGAGAGTGGGAAGAAAGATGAGAGAAGAGAGAGGAGGGGAGATCGAGGAGGTCCAATCCCCCACTCGGCCACTTTACTCTCAGCCAGTTCCTTCTTGGCCCTCCCAGCCGTGGTCAGACCTCGGGGGTCAGACCCTTCGAGCCGGAGCCTGTTCATAGGCTAAGCCAACTCACAGGATTCAACATTATGTCCCGACAACTTTAACAATTCACCCATCAAACCAATCTATTCTATGGGTTTGTCTCAAATGCCACTTTCGCCCAAGTTCGTCCAGAAGAATTATGCGTCTCTAGAATAAAAACGGCTTTTTACGCCAGAGATCTAGGAAATCATTTTCACGAAATTGGAAGCCCCGAGACTAATAGGTTACAAAAAAGGAACTGAAAACGTATTTATACCCATTAGCTTACACCAGCAGAGGACGCTTTTGATTCGACCAAAATTCCGGTTTCGATTTTCAGAAATTTCCAGCGACGAGTGAGCATCTTATTCCGGAATTTCTGTAAAAGACGCATAAAAGACGGATAAAATATAGTTATTTTGGACTGGACCGCAATAATAACGGACGAAGATAAAATCTAGGTTTCGTAATTTTTAATAACAAACCTTGAAATTACTCTAGAAAAATTAGATTCGAGAATGGACAAAAGAAAGGCACTATAATTTTTGCCTTACAGGAAAACATTAACAGCTACATGTACAGGAAGCTAAGATGAATTCTCGCAAAAGGCAGGGGTTTATAAAACTTTTTAATTTGTGATTTTAGGAATTAAGGAGAGTTAAAAGAATTGCATAAGAGACGTTTTTCTCGGATCCTCAAGATCTAAAGTTCTATGTATGTAACATTGAATTGTCTCTACGGTAAGTTAGTGAAAGTAGATACATCGTATAAAATTCAGCCCGAATACATAACTCAAACTCATTGGTCACTGTTATCTACCCATGTCTCCACGTAGTTTTTTACGATAGTAAACAACTGCTTTATCGATGGCCATGACTTACTCAAATAACATCACTTTGATATCGCGACGGAAAACCGACAATATGCTAGCAACAAAGAGCTATATAAAACAAATAAATGTTCTTCACGTGGTTGATAGCATAAGTAGATAACTGTCAGCTGGCAGTGAGACAAAAGCTGTATGCTAATAAAATCTTCCAAAACGTGTTTTAAAGTCGGAAGTGAATCCTGAAAGTGAGTTAATTGCCACGGTAGTCACCAATTATATCTTTAAACCAGCCTTGCCTTTTTGTTCTTCATTGTCTGATGAACAATACACAACGATTTGGGTGGCCACTAATTGCCACAAGTAGTGCAAACTGAAACACTGTCTAGAGTTGCCAGAAACTTGCAATTTTGATCAATTTTCTACAGTTGAAGGGCGAATTGTCAGCAAAAGCAAATGTCGAATGAACAAGTCTTTTGTAATAACGTTAAACCTCTTGTGTCATCTTCTGTCAGATCAGCTTAAACTTATTTACTTATTGCCTTTTTCACATGCAAATTTCTGTTTGCGATCGATCTTAGGCGCTAATGAACGCGCGAGGGAAAAAAAAAAAAGATTACGTTATACAATTTTAATTGTGTGTCCTAAATTGGCAATATCAACATGGTAAAATTCTGGCGATTGCTAGTTTTCGCTACGATCCGTGACGGCTAATGGCCCAAGTGAAGAGCGACGACGCAGTGATCTCGGCCCTGTTATGTCGAATTTTTGTAGTTTTAAGACTTATTGAAATAAATTCGTGGCATTGTACGTTTGTACAAACAGAGAGATGTTTTGATACGGAGAATTTGGCAACTGAAGTAATTCGTGAAAGCTTAGTAAAAACACGTCGACTACACAACCTATTTTATTAAGCAAAAATCATGGTGATTTTCTTGTTTAAGTTCATGATCCCAGTCTATATATATCTAGTTAAGCACTGTTTGATGAAATACCAAAAATATTCCAGCCCTAATCTACGGGTGAAGTTAATATAGATCGAATGCAGGTACAAGCCTGCTGAGTAAAGGCTTCTTGCTCAGTGAACAATGTACTTGTATTGTCACCTTCCTTTTGTTAAACTGCGTGTAATTTAGATGGCTATACGCGCATTTCTTCTTACAACATCTTGACGCCAGCTTGAAAAAGCGAATGCTAGAACTGACTTTGTCATTTTAATTGTAGAAGTTTAAAACCACTAACAGCATCGTCCATGTTTTGGTCTCCTTCTAAAAGTTTAATCACCTCCTCAAACTGAGGGCTGCGTTTCACATTCGCACAAAGCGAAAACTTCGTAGAGTCATCGGTAATCGTCGGCAAAATTGTGTTTCTCCGTCTTTGTTTTCCTTTATTACCACGCCACTTCATTGCCAAACTCCTCGCTTTTACAATGGTTGAAATAGAGTAGGTTTCTTTGGTATCTAGCGGCACGGACAGAGATTGCCTCCTTGAAGAATTACCCCGTAGCTTTTCTGGCGTCTCACTTTGACGTCTTTTAGCTGTTATCGTTGTCCCATCCTTTAACGTTTCCAATGTTTTCCCAGTTGTCTTAGTTACTGGTTGGTCTTTAGAAGGCAAGCCAATCCTCCCCTTTGCTTTTGACTGATAAATACCCCATCTTCCGTTTTGTTGTGAAAAGTCTGACGGAAATTTTACTTTCCTGGAAGATTCACTTAAGGTTAAGCCCTCGCGATTCCACTTTGACGACGAAGGATGTTGCACTGACGGTGAAGAAATCTCTGGAGTCTTACTTCGAGTATTTCTTTCTCGTAATCTAGACGTCTCCTTTTCAATTCCTGTCAAGGTCATTCTAGTCGTCCCACTTTGCAGACGCTTTGTAGCTTTTTCACGTGTAATGGCTGGCGCCATGTTATGCTTCCGTAATTCCACAACTGGATCAGTCTGGGTGGATATACGATTGTACGGCATGGCGTCGACGAGCTTACATCTACAAGCTTACTTCATGATTCCAGGGACTAAGCCACTAATTTCGTTCGTACAGCAATAAGTTCGTTTCCTTTGTGTCCATTCTGCAACGATAGAATGAATACGTTATTTTCTCATTAAGACTAATGCCAAATTAAAATCGCCTTTTCTGTTCACGAACCAGCAATTGTCTTTCACATTGTCAGTGGGCTTACGTCAAATTTTCTTTCCTTTCAGGGAAAACAAAGTGTTTTCATTTGACAAGAGGATGCTAATTTCCTAGTTCAACAATGGTTTTAATGTCAGCTTAACCACTGTATTCGCTTCAGATGTATCTTGTATGTTTACCTTTCCCAGCGAGGGGGAGGAGATAAACTTTCAAATGTGTACATGTCAAGCAATGTGTTGTGACTTACAAGACACAGTTCCAAAACAAACTGAAAGTAAAGTCAGCGAGTATTTGCACAGTAAAAGAAACTGTGGCTTGTTAATGAGGCTTAAGTCTTTTCATCGGAAAAGACAAAATTACAGAGCACCTGCATGCCAGATATTGTAAAAGTACATTTGTACGCGTCAAAAATGAACAGTACCAAGAGCACTGAAATATATAGATTTGTGATTCGGTAATTAGTGAAGGTTATATTAGTTTCGCCGTTGCCATTCATTTAAATATGGAGCTATTTTGGACCCTTTTTCCCTGGCGGGATTTTCGTCGATTATTAGCAACGTGTCATATTTTGAGGAACTCATTGCCCTTCGAGCAACGTTTTTGCTTGCGCATGCTTAGCAACTTCGATATCCATTCTGCGAAGTCGATCGGAACTGCTTTGAGTTGTTAAATTGGTTTTAAGGTAGAACCCCACGAATACAACCACCTTGGGGCCTTAAAATTGTGGTCATGCATATTGAAGGGGAGGACATTTTAAAACGAGCTTAAAATGGGAAAATAACCGACAAGGAAATCACCAGCTAAGAGAGGAAAAAGAGTGACCGGAATACCGAGGTGGCCGTCGGTGTAGTCGTGAGACAAGGTGGAATTTAAATGTATTTACAATATTCAGAGAGGAAGCTACATCAGCCTCAACTGATTTTGATTTTTGTGGAGGGAGGAAAACCGGAGAACCCCGCAGAAAACCCACGGCGAAAGGCGAGAACCAACAACAAACTCAACCCACATATGGCACAGGGCCGGAATCGTGACTGGGCCAAGCGAGTGCTCTCACTACTGCGCCATCCCTGCTCCACAAACTTTCATGTTTGGCAATGATTATAGTTTTTACAATAATGTCTGATGATTATACATACATACTTTGGTAGTCTTCAGCATATAGGTTTCACTTGGTGTTAGGGCAGTTTTGTTGCCATGGCGGGTTCCTGTTACCGACGTGTTCTAGGCGGGTCAGTGGCCTTTTTCAAGAAAACTCAAAATGGCTGACTGCTACAGCCTTGATTGACGGTGATTTACGCTAGAAGTACTCAGGCCCCCCTCCGCAGATACCTCGCAGCCGATCTCACGTAGTGATAGGAGAGAAGCAAGAGGAAGCTGCCATTTTAAAAAAATGCAATTAAAAGTGCGTATATGCTGGTCTCCATTAAGAGCTAAGCTATTTTACTTACCAACTCGAGCCGTGTGGTCAATTGCATGGAAATGTTTTGAAATTCCACTTTCATAGGGCAATTAGTAAAGAGCGTGGCTTTCAATTCCTAAATAAAAAGCAACGTCATGGAGTTTGTGAGGACTTTCAACTTATTCAGATATGCCGAACATCTGGTTGACTACCTTGTTGGCAGTGCATTATGCGTGCCCCCCCCCCCC